GTAGTCACGCTTCCACCGCATCGGTGAATGGGAGTAGGGGAAGGCGTTTTGCGCACTACTCATAATTTTTCGTGATATTGCTGTGCTTGTAGTGAAATTTTATTTGCGATGCGCATGTGATCATTTGTCTTGTTTTGGTAAAGTTGGACATCAAGTTTAGTAGTAAGATTACCGATGTAACGAAGTGTTTAACTTTGGTATTTTCGGTAAGCTGTTGCCTCCGAGAAAACCTTTGCCGACTTGGAATTGTGGAAGGTTTTATGGTGATGGATGCCAAATTTGGAATAATTGAACATCGAATTCTACAATTCGCATCAAACTGCAAGCAGCAAGGCAACGCCCTCTAGTTGACAGAAAGGACTGTTTTTTGCTTTGGAAGCCATTTAAGGAACAGTTGCTATTGAGAAACCGTTCGCTATAGTCTGCTGTAATCGCTATTAGAGCCACTCATAGGGCATCCTCTTAAGGCATGGAAAGTTATCCTAACTGATCGCAGTCTTAAGGTCACGGGGGTTGCGATCAATTCCCGTACTTCATTTGTCGTTGTTTTGTTCCAGCTACATTAAAGGATAAAAACTACAAAGTTTGTTCAAAACAACCTTGATACGGGCCTTTATTTTTATTCTAAATCCAGTTTCATTAATACTATGCATGAATTCCTCATAGTATGTAGTCGGTTGTAAGTCTACTGTAAACAAGTAAATTAAACAGTATTCCGGTAATCTGATAAAGGTGTAGTTAACTTCAGGGCATTGCTTAGTTTATTTAATTCCGTTTGTATTTTTTGCTTATCTATTCAAGGCATATGTACCACCGAGCCTGCATTGATCCCTGGTTGCTGAAGCATCGTAGTTGTCCTCTGTGCAAGCAAAACATTCTCATCGCTTGTGGTTTGTCTCTGGCTGAAGAGGACGCGGCCTCCTGCTCCGCTACTACTAGTGAGGCCAACTCGGGCTTGTCGCTATCCGCCACATCCGCCTCTCCATCCACCTCCTCTATCCCGGCGTCTCTCGAGGGTCTTTTCTGCCCTCCTCTGGTCCTCTTTAGCTGCCGTCATCCTCGTCGTCGCCGTCGTCGTCATTACCACCATCATTTCTACCGCAACTTTCAACACGTTCGGCGACCTAGCTCCTCTCTCGACGAGGTCTCAGCTCCTTTTGGCGGTCGAAGGGTACTTGGTTCGGCATCGGAGAACTCTTCTTCTTCCATTACTGCAAGATCTTTGCCTTCTGATCTCCTATTTCACACTGCTGCTATTTCACCCTCTGTTCCGGAGAAGAGCACAACGTTCCCTGCCGAGGAACCCGATGGGGAGGATGAGAGAGTATCAGTAGGCAGGACAATAGGAAGGCGAGGCCGTCGAAACCTAATGACTTGTTGCTCTTGCTGCGCGGGTGGAGGCATTGGAAGGGCGAAAGGAACACCTGACGGAAGGCTTCCGTCACCACAACTGACCTCATCGACTTGTGGTACGACTCTTCCTTCCGCCCTCGTATTCCCACCACCCGTGGCGCACCCTCCAGCTATGCTTCTGTATCATCTCCCTCATTCAATGCCTCTCGCTCCAGGTGCAATGGCAACGAAGGCCGCTCTGCCCTCATATGAACAGGTTGGTTTAGCAAAAGTCTTGTTCACCCAACTTTTTCAAAATGTAGTTACGCTATTGTTCAAAGCAGACTCGTACAGTACGATTGACATAATGTTGGCATCGGGCTGAGAAGCTGTCTTCAAGATTCACAGTTCAGACTGGTAAGTACCAAAATTGCTTTAATTTGTGGACGTTGCTTCCATTACCACTGACTAAATGCGAAAGAATTCACGTATTGGTAATAAAATGGAGAAGAGGGCTCAATGCTAATAATAATAATTTCGTTGCCGCCTCATGTGTGATTGGGATCTAGTTGTTATTGCCGAAGTAGCTTGATTTATCACAAATTGTTAATTATGGGGCTGGCTTCGAATATTTTATGCTTGCGAACAATCATTTGGGAAGCAAATTCAATATTGCTATCCCTTTCGTTCTGCTAGTGGGTTTCATTTTTAAAACTATACATGGTTTACGTTCATAGGGGATCAATATAATTCGTAAATTTGTTTCTGGAACTTTTTCTCTATCCTTCTTCTGAATCGCTCCAGAAATTTGTTTATCTTATTTAAATGTGTGAGTCCTTTTCACTTAAACCGTGCTGAAAAGACATAGTTTTAGCTTTTCGTTTTTGTCAGTAAACTGCTTTTTTTGTGCACTTGAACCGTCGATGTGATATTTAAGTAACGTGTCCGCATTTGGTAGTAAATTTCTAATTTTGCGCTTTGCAAATGGTCTTCTGTCAAATTGGAGCGATTTCATAGTAAAACGACGCCTGCAAATGGATTGGCTGGAGCGAATCATAATTTTTCCGACTTTCTGCATGTCAGGCAAATAATGGGTTCTGATTTATCGATGATTTTAAGAGATTAGTATTTGTATCTCTCCGTTGCGCAGAGCATAATTTTGGGGAAATTACTTAGAGGAGAACTTGTTTGTGACGGCAGTTCATTGAGTGATGTTACAAAGAAGCAATCTTCAGTACTGTCTCACTATTCAGTGTCATTTGAGGAGAGTTATGTGTTGGCTGCAACAGTGTCAATGCGCAAACGAAGTGAATGATCGTCGTAGTGTTCTTAAGGTTAAAGCATTTGTTGACTATGGCAAAACTTTAATATGACATCGTCAAGGGTGGTTGCTTCGCTTGTGGGAATGCGTGCCATAACCTTATTTTCTTGAATTTTGTTTCCCCTTCAGTGTCCAAATTAGGCTATCAACTGATTCCCTTTAACCAGGGATGACCACTTAATACCGTTGAAGCACTTTCACAATATTCAGGTCTGAGGTTTGGTCGATCGACCCGAGGCGGAAATTAACTGCACGGACCGCTCGTCCTTAATAAACCTAACCACAAGATTGTCTACCTGGGAGCGCTTTAAACTTCATAAAGATTTGACGCCTTACTGACTTTAATTTTGCCTCTATCCTGTTCTGATTTGATTAAAATATCTTAAAAATGCCTTTCGAATACATTGCTGTGCCTTTAATTTTCTCGTTGCATCTAATAGCATGGTGTCTATTAAGCCTTTACTTAAGTTTAAATTATTAATGTCATCCTGTTAGCGTACTGATATCCTTGTGTTATTAATTAAGCAGGGTGGTTATGGCGAATACAATGTTTTATGTTAAGCGGCTCGCGGACCACATTTGCTTTGTCTGATATCGGAGTGGAACAAATGAGGGAATAGCGCCATTAACTTAGTGAACCTCCTTTATTTGTTTGCTGGGTAGACAGTCAAGGTAATGTTTGGGCTTGAATTTTGGAAATCAAATGACTTAAATTCTTCAGCTAAAGTGTTGACGATCAGCAAGCAAAAACCATCTCAAGGTTACTGATGATTTGTCCTCTGGTCTGCATTTGTAGCGTGCACCCAGTTTGTGTGAACAGCTTAGACTTTCTACCATCTATTGTTGTTCCCTGTTCTCATGCAGGCCACAGCAGCTATGCCACAAGCGACCTTCGTGACGTTACCAGCATCTCCACTTGCGTGTCCGCATCAATCACTCGTGGGCTGGAGCCCCAACTTCCCCTCGGAGCCTGGACAACAAGAAGTTGCTGATCTCTTGGACTCGTCAAAACGCAGTTACTCTGTTGCCAAAACCAGCCTCGTCTACGCAGTGTTATCTGCATCGGGAGCCAGGTTAGTTCCTCCGAGCTTCATTTGTTATCCTTTTTTGTACTGGCTCCTTTTTTTCTTTGCGCAAACTCATGTTCATCTTCTGATGTTTAAGTGCCCCCTCACTGCGTCAAGTACTGCTGTTAACAAAACGTGCTTCTAGTAATTGCGTTCACTGAGCGAAAACCGATTGTGACTACACTCTGAGGGAATAGTGATACAGGCTTGAAATATGAAGTTGTGTATTTTAACAACTGTCCTTATTAGAAGTCAATTGTAACTATGATACCCAGAAATGAATGCTTTTCCTAGTGTTCCACAAGGTATCAGTAGTACCCTTTAAAATGTAAACCACATTTTTTCATCAGATACTCAAGTAGAATTAGGCGACAGTAAGTTAGTAACCAAGTATGGGCGGTATTATGGCGGAAAAAACGGACTTGTTAACTATAGGTTCTTTATGCATCTTCAAAATAAATTACCTGTTCGAGTATTCATTGCTTTTTATGTTCTATAGCAAGGGGCTTAGGCCGTGAGTTTTATCTTCCCTTACTAAAACGAATATAATTGCCGCTGTGTGACCACCGACTTAGCAGCTGGAGTTGAAATGCCTATTAGCTCAAGGGATATTTTTTACTGTTTTATCTTTTATTTATTGACGACTGTTTTCCAAGCAAAAAAAGAATACTTGAAATCCCAAGCGGGTCATCATCGGTTCGCATTTTAAATCATTCTTGTCAGTCTCCCGTTTCAGCATTTAATACGTCCCTTTCAATGCTCCGCGTCCTAAAAAAGAGCTCTGTATTTAAATGATAATGCATTTTAGGTGGTATCTATCATCATGATCCATGCACATGGCACCTCTTTTCCCTTAAATTTCATTCCGGACCCTAATAACTTCGAATCGTTTTAACTGATGATACTTTAGATGTCCTTAGTTGTACGCTTGAAATGTCGGACTAATTAGTCGATGGCCACGCTCTAGATCAAGAGCTTTCGACAGACTGGTGTTGCCTTTCTAGGCTTTGCCTTCGTAGCTTAATTACACCGATGAAAGGGTAAGAAATTTTTGGAATGCTTAAGCCCCTCCTCATCAGACAAAAGGACGGGACCCATTCACTGATACTTCCTTTCTTGCTGCTAAGAGACACTCGTACTGATTAAGACTTAAAGGGAAATTGGCTCAAATCGTTAAATCAGTTTAAGGGAAACAGCCGTGGTCGGACATCTTACGGACCTCAAACTAGTATTTTTGTATGGCTTTGGATAATGTTTTAATCCCAAATGGAGTAATCAAAGCAAGAAAATAAGGAAACGACACCTTTAATTTTGATGGCGTGCGTACACAAGGCTCTTGGTGCACATACACACATGCTGGCCGGATTTTAGGAGTCGTTGGGTAGTTCTCATATTACCGAGCTTATAAACTTGGTGTGAAGCGCG